TGCCTCAGTGCAGCCATGTCCACCCCCGTCCATCTGGGAGGCTGTTGTAGTTTACTGTCGGGCTCCCCCATCACAATGCAAATTCCACAGGAGCTGGGATTTTCTCTCTTTTGTTCACTGGGGTGTATCCTACACCATGCTGCAGCTGGAGCCTTGGCCTAGGGTTAAGGTTAGGGTTAGGGTTAGGGTTAGGGTTAGGGTTAGGGTTAGGGTTAGGTGGGGCATTGGCAGCAACAAATACCCAATAAGCATCGGTAAGAGAGGTCTTCAAAAGTTCATGAAAAATGCACATCAAGAAAAAACTGTGTACAGATTTCAAAAAATAAGCCTTATCTCTTAATTCCACTTTCCCCACAAGCTTTTTGAAGTGCCCTTGTACCTCTCTATATTGGCTGTAATGCTGACTCTTGGGGTTACTGCCGGCTCTCCAGCCTCGCTGCCTCCTTGGGGACACTCCAGGGATCAGGAACACGCAAGGGTAGAAGATGAGCACAAGTCACGTGGCCATCTTCAAGGGTCTGCTCCAGAAAAGTGTGCTGCCTTCCTGCTCAGCTTAGCCACGACAGCAATTGTTTGCCCCAAATATAGGCAGTGCCCCTGAACTTAAATAATCACTCCCACGAACAGAATCTTACCCAGTTCTCACCATACCCATGCAGCGTAAGAGGGGTAACTCTTCCATGGCAGAAAAAGCAGCCAAAGAAAGGATCGCTAGGAATTCTGGGCTCTAGTCCTGGGGTCATCACTTACCTACTGTGTACCCTGGGCCACCTCATCTTTCTGGGGGAGAGTTTTCTTCAGATATAAATGTGCATAGCAACCCTCATGTAGGGTGTTCTTTGGAAGAACAGAAACAAGAATGTGAAGTTAAGGTGCAGAGGTAGGATAGCAAATGCATCCAGGTTAATGGTTCTGGAGTCTTACAACAAATGCCGGCCCCCTCTGCAGTTCTCTGAAAGCCAGCATCCTTACCTATAAGTTGAGGTTGGTAACAGTACACAGCCAACCAACAGAGGTGTTGGGATGACACAGCTAAACGAGATGCCTCTCTCATTGCCAGTTGCTGCTTTTTGTTCTTGTTTGAATCCCATCCATCTTGGTGGTCATCCTGGTGGTGACTCGACATGATGAGATAACAAAAGCTTGGGATCTGAGTTCAATGGGCTTGGGACCCAGTGCATGTCTCGGGTAATATGCACCACTGACCCTTAATCTTTCACCTGCGAAACAGGATGATTGATAATCCCCTCCGCCATAAGTCTGATGTGGGGCAGGAAAGAACTGGTGTCTTTGACGACCCACACACAGCAGACGCCCAGTGAAAAATCAGTTCCATTCTAGAGATATGAGCACTGATCTGTGATTTTACTTAGCAGTGGGGAAAAGATCAAGGTCAGGGGCCAGAGCTGCGGCGTAGCGGGTGAAGCTGCCACCTGCAGTGCCAACATCCCATATAGGCGCCCGTTCAAGACCCGGCTGTTCCACTTCCAATACAGTTCTCTGCTATGGCCTGGGAAAGCAGTAGAGGATGGCCCAAGTCCTTGGGCCCCTGCACCCTCGTGGGGAACCAGAGGAAGCTCATGGCTCCTGGCTTCAGATTGGTGCAGCTCTGGCCATTGCAGCCATCTGCAGAGTGAGCCAGTGGATGGAAGACTCACTTTCTCTCTCTCTCTCTCTCTCTCTCTCTCTCTCTCTCTCTCTCTCTCTCTCTCTCTGTCTGCCTCTCTGTAGCTCTGCCTTTCAAACAAATAAACAAGTCTTTAAAAAATACATCTTAAAAGCAAACAAACAAAAAAAGAGAGCAAGGTCAGGTATAAAGGCTGGCAGATGGGGATTCTGACCCCAGGGTGTTGGGTGGAGAGGCAGTCGGGTGCTCCACACTCAAGACCAAATAGTGAAGCTGTTAATTGCAGAGCCCATTGGAGCCAGACTGCCTGGGTTCCAATCCTGGTCCTGAAATGTGTGAGATGGGTGGCCTCAGTTCCCTCTGCTGGAATGGGGATGACAGTAGGGCCCATCTGAGTGTTGTCATGTGGCTTAAAATTGTTAGCCCTGTGCCTCCCATAGAGTAGGCATTACTATAAGTCTTTGAAAATAAGTTTAATGTATACAAAGTTAAAATACATGTGCTTAGCCAAAAAACAAAAAACCTTGAGAAAGAAATCACTTAAATGGGCGAGTTTGACTCAATGAGCCCATGTGCAGAACACAGGGGAGATGGAAAGGGCTACCAGCTCTTCTCTTAGCAGGTCTCACTTAGCCCAGGGACTTCTTGAATGCCCCGATCTAATCTCTCCAAACAACACAGACCCAAGAGACCTTGAGACCTCTGATCCTCAACCAATAAGAAATCAATCTGTTCCATCCTGGTCTTGATGGATTGGGAGATCGTGCACAGCTCTCCAACACAGGGTCTTCAGCCCCACACAAGACACAAACCCGTGGATCCCTGAAACTCAAGGCTTTCAGGGTTCTCAATGTCTCTTCCTTGCCTTGGCGCACCATTCAATGACCCAGAACTCTGACAATTTCCAGGAGAGCCCAGCCCCTCTCTCTAATTCCAGAAGACATATGAGTGAGGTATCCCAACATTGAAAGAACAGCCCCAAATCCATTCTACTTCATCGTTTTTACAACAGCAAGTTGCAAATAAAGACAATGTTCTTTGATGAATATTAATGATGAACATTTCCCAATCCCAACACATGCAAGTTGAAAACTTCTGCCCCAAGTCAACCTGGCCTCTCCCTTAAGAACAAGGTCTTTTCTCAGTATATTACAACGCTGAGACGGTCTTTCTGCTAGTGATGGCAGCGAGTCAATACAGGGACGGCCAGTGGAAGGGGGAAAGGTAGTAGAGTGAGGGGGTCTGAATGGTTAAATCCTAGTCCTATCTGTCACTGTTTGGACACCTTTAGGCCTTAATTTCCCAAGGAAATACTAAAGATTTGTCCCATTAAGGTGCATCACCTGTCCAGTCTTTGTCAACTCCCCATTTGGCGAGAATTATCATTCACTTAATAGTTCTCTTTTCATTGACTCTCTTCTTCTACTCAAATTTTATTTTAAAAGTGAACTTCAAAGCCACCACTGGAGCACAAGAGTGAACCAATTCATTATCTTGAAGCTACTAAGTAAAGCAAAAGAATCGAGTGTTTATCCTGTCTTTCCTAAGTAGCAGTCAGTTTGTGTGTTGCTGTAACAAAATACCTAAAGCTGATTACTTTATAAAGCAAAGAGGTTTTGCGAGCTCACAATTCCGACAGCTGGAAGGTATAGAGAGCATGGTGCTGGCATTTGCACCACGACTTGACAGAGAAGCAGAAAGGGACTGACCACTTGTAGAAGGGCACACCAGGGGGCAGCCTTACTGTATAATGCTCCGTGCAGTGAGCACTAACACTCCTGTGATATGGCTTTAATCCATTCGTGAAGATGCAGCCCACATGACTTAATTACCTTCTTCTGGGAACAACCAAGCTCCCAGCACAGGGACCTTTGGAAGACAAACTATATCCAAACTGTAGCCCTCCATGAACTGTACCACCAGGGAATGAAGCAAGAGATGAGAAGCCCCTCTTTATAAAGGCATTCCAATGGGTATATGAAAAAGAAAAGGTAGAATTAGGGTGCCATCATCTCATAGTCCCCACTGAATGAATGAAATGAATGAATGCAGGCACTGAGTGTCCATTGCTGCCAACATCACTGAGAGCGACAACTGGGAATTATGTGTCCTCAGATGAATGAACACACCACCATCTTTACTCTTGCCTTGAGGATGAAGCCTTTAAGAACCAGCAGCCCATGTGCAGCATACACAGAGATCAGGGGAAATGTATGGAGGTGCCCCACGACCGTACAGTCAGCAGAACCCCAAAGTGTGAAGACATTACAGGTCAAACAGCCTGGCACCTTCAGAAAAATAAAAGAAGGGAATGGACTGGGAGAGAATTGGGTCACTTGATTAAAGACTCTACTGACACATCAAATTAGATGTAAAATATGAGGATACTTCAAAAAGTCCACAGCAAGTGGAATGAAAGATTTATTTTTGTTGCAAACAATTCTGAAACCCACGCTTTAAAAAATAAATAAATACACATTTTCCATGAACTTTTTCAAAACCTCTCATTTGCCTGGATTTCAAAAAGATTTGCAATGAAAGCAACGCATCTTCTAATTGCATTTCAGGAACTTTTCAAAATACTCTCATACAGTTGGGCTCTAAAACCAGCATGTGGATTGAGATTTGAATTATAAATTCATCTTGAAAAGTCCCTTTGGGCATCTGGAAGTCACTCCATCTTGGTTCTCAGAAGTCCCAAAGGTGAGAAGTAATGTTGGACCACTGTGCACTTGGGCTCTGGCCTCTCCTTTCTCAAGTAGGGAGGCCAAGGAATAATTTAACAAGGAAAGGGTGAAGGGTCACTTGAAGGGACATCTCTTGCTCTCACAAATAGCATGGAAAGCACAGTCAATGGCAGACAGTACGTGCACGTCCCCCTGGAGAGCCACAGCTATAAGCTCACTAGTCCCTGCCTAGGACCTGTGTCTGCACCCTGCCTGTCCTCTGAGGGTTCTGTTGTCGGGAAACCCACACCCCCTTCAAGGACACCTAGGCCAAGGCCTCAGGCAATCTGCAGAGACGTATTCAAGTGTGCATGCGTCCAAAGGGTCTGGACTGTAACCAGGCAGAGGCACAATGTGTGATCTTTCCACTGAGCCCCTGTCCCCAAGTCACCCCTTGCTGTCAGAGATGCATCCTGCTCCATTGGTTACAAAACCAAATGTCTGAGCTCTTTCATCTGAGTGGAGACAGCATCTGCCCAGGGGAAAGCGATTCTCAGTGGCAATCTTGGGAATCTCCTCCGACTTCTCTGGGCCTGACATCTTTCTGTTTCTAGAATGGGAAGGACCTCGGTGTCACTCTGAGGTGCAGCTGTGTCTGGGATTGACCGAAGCCTGGAGGTGACACTCAGGGCCACCAGACAAGTTACCATGGTCTGGAAGCAGGAGTGGAGCTGGGTGAGGAACGGTGGCTTCCCAGGCAGGGCCAGCACCCGCTTCTCTACCATGGTGCATTCCACGTCGTCATCTTGGATCACCACGTCCTTTTTGAGGATCTTCACAGCGTAGAGCTCGTCTGTGCCCTTCCGCTCCGACAGCATCACCTGGGAGAGGAAGAGAGAGAGAGAGAGAGAGAGAGAGAGAGAGAGTCAGGGCAGTTGGAAAGGCCCGGGGGAAAGCCAAGGGCAGATGGTGTCCATTCCAATCCACCCCCAGCTCTGCACAGGTGCCCTCTGTGGACTGTCAATCAATAAATGATGCAGTCTGTAACCTCACACTTGGAATGATGGAGTCCAATCAATAGAGTTCTGTTCAGGGACAAATCATCAGGTATTGATCCCTTTGGGATATGTATTGATCAATGCTCAGCCAACATGGATAGACTATAAGCCCCATGAGGGTAAGGGTCTGTGCCTGCTTTGTTCACTGTCATAACCCAAGAGCCTGCCATAGTGCCTGTCACATAGTAGATGTTCAATAAGTATTTGTTAAATGGAAGAATGAATGAATGCCTGATAAAACAGGATTGAGGACACTTGTTCCTTTGCTCCTTTAATCATTTAATGTTCATGAAGAGCCTGCTAAGCTCTGGGGAGACAGCAAAAAACAGACAGGTACCTTCTCTGACCCCAAATTCCAGAGAGGAAGAAAGATTCAGACAATTAATTACAAGGATGATTCATGCAATATTTTAATAGCATCTCTTGTTTCCTTGGGGCTTCCTTCCACGAGCTGTGGTCACAATCAGAGCCAGTTAACCGAAGTGACTCACGGACACATCATTATTTTCATTGGTTGTGACTGCCGGAGTGAACAACGGCCACAGGCACTCTCAAGAAGCTATGTAGGAAGTACATTATGGAGAGACCTAAGCTGGGCTGGGGGCTTCCGGGAGGGCTTCGTGGAGAAGAAAACCTTCCCGCGGAAGTATTTACCACATGCGCTGTGTCATTTGACAGACAGTAATATTAATCACCACTATACATCTCAGCACTTGTCAACGTACCAACCAATTATTGGTTTTCTCTTATTATTTCTCATTTCCTCCACTTGTGGAGTAGGAAGTAGGTTCTACATGAATCTATAATGTACTATTATGAACCTAGTGTGCAGGAAACTGAGACCCAAGAGGACAAATAATCTGTCACACCACAAATTGAATTCTGGACGCGACCAGGACATGAACTCAGGTTCATCTGACTGAAGTCCCTGCTTCTAGGGGTGGGTGTTTGGTGTAAGGACACTGCTTGGGATGCCCACATTCCCATATCCCAGTGTCTGGCTTGAGTCCTGGCTCTGCTTCTGATTCCAGCTTCCTGCCAATGCACACCATGGGAAGCAGCAGATGATGGCTCAAGTACTTGGGTTCCTGCCACCCAGGTGGGAGGCCTGGATTGAGTTCCTGGCTTCTCGCTTTGACCTGACCCCATTCTGGCTGTTACCAGTGTAAGGTGAGCGAACAAGGAGATGGCAGATCTCTTTCTTTCTCCCCACCCTGCTACAACTGTGTGTGTCTCTCTCTCACACTCACTTTCAAACACAAAACCAACGTCAGTGCCTCTGCACCCTGCCCTTGGGCACCAGAAGAAACCTAATAAAACGCTCACACCCAACACAGCGAGGGGATGCAGAGAGTAACACAGACAAGCTGAGAGTCAGGGGCAGCCCGGCACACTCCGTGCTGATCTTCGGCTAACACTGAAAGGCGTGGCTGAACTAACACGTAGAAGCTTCTGAACTCTCGCTGCCAGGCCCTGCCCTCACCCACTCACTCACAGTCCCCTGCTCCTGTTCCCAGTGTCTTCTCCCTCATCAGAGCCAGGGGCTGCCATGGGCGGTGCAGACCCAGAGATTGAGAGCATTTCAGGAAGAAGGCTCTGACACACAACTACCATGGCAACAGAACCCTTCTTAGCCTCTTGTCACCCAGCGCCACACTACAAGGGAAGAGCTGCCCCGAAGAGTGGGTCCAACCTGCTGGGCATTTACTCAGTCCTCAAAACAGACCACTGGCTTAGGGACAATGTAGGGCTCTTGTCTCTCCCCTGGTATCCAGGGCTGCTTTTTCCTTCCCCGGGCTCTTGCCAAGTAATCCACTGTCCTAAGACAGAAAGAGCTGGGGGTTTTCTGAACTCAGGCTCCAGAGAAAGCTGGGATGAGCAGGGGAAGTGCAGGGAGGAGGCAGGGTGAGCAGAGGCACCACAGAGCCAGCAGGTTGCTGTTCCCAGAACTCCAGGCTACTGCAGGAGGGGCCTGGGGCTGAGTTGTCCTCAAGTGTGGATGTCCTCCCTGACCCATTCCCCCAGTCTGTGCACCACCCAACAATCCTGACTGCCTGTAACTCCCCCTCTCCACCCTAGAGGAGGGTCTGGACTCCCTGAAAGTGAATGCAGTCATGACCAGACGTATTAGCCTTTGCATGGAAGAGAAACAGGACAGAATGGCTCAAAACTTCGCCCTGCAGCAGCCACAAGAGTGGACATCCTACATCCATCTCGGCTATGCCCATGTTGTGGGTAAACAAGCTGAGACTCAGAGAGGTTAATTTGCTTGAGCTGTGATTGCTGCCTAAATGCTTAACAAATACCCTTCTGTGGTTCGCAGAAGCCAAACAATTCCATAACCAAATCTTTTCCTTGGAACATTCTATGTCTACTGCCTGAGACTTCCAGGCTCCTTCACTGCTTAGCCAGCCTGAGATGCAGCCTCCTTCTATAACTCAATCTTCCACTTAGACCAGCCACTTGCACCCCTGAGTGCCAGGACTGCCTTGTCTGGATGTCAGCTACTTTGGTGTAGGTTTTTCCAAACTTCACTCATTCCTGCCTCCTTTTTACACTTTTTTTCCCCATCACACAAACTGTTGTTTGCTTAGCATTTCAAACGTCTAGTCACATTGTTATTTAACTAAATTTATTTGAAGACAAAACTTTATGTCATCACTAACCAAGGCTTGCCATTACTAGTGATAGCCACAAAAATACAGAAAAGCAAAGTGGAGCTGGTAAACTCTAGCTGGATACAGCTGTCTGCCTCAGGGGCTGAGCCAGGCCCTGGACTTTCTCCTTCCTAAAGGAAAAACTGACATTAGCAAATGTTAGAGAGCAAATTGTCATCCCCTGAGATCTATCATCCTCTCCAAGTCATTAGAAAGACCATATGAAAATATAAAGAGGGGCCAGCATCGTGGCTTAAGCTGCCACCTGTGACCCTGGCATCCCATATGGGTGCCAGTATGAGTCCCAGCTGCTCCACTTCCAATCCAGCTCCTTGCTAATGTGCCTGGGAAAATGGCAGAGGATGCTCCAAGTCCTTGCATCCACGAGAAAGATCAGAAAGAAGCTCCTGGCTCCTGGCTTCGGCTTGGCCTGGACCATCCCTGGCAGTTGTGGGCCATTTGGGAAGTGAACCAGTGGGTGGAAGAACTCTCTCTGTCTTGCTCTCTTTCTCTCTCTGTCTGCTCTCTGTAACTCTGGCTCTCAAATAAAAAAAATATAAAGCCTTTAAAATAGAAAATATAAAGAAAGAATGATCTTATGATGTGGCTTAGTTTTATATCAGTCTACTTGCCACGCAAAACCATCTCAGGTACCAATGGAAAGCATTAGGAAATACAGGTTGTATTTGTACAATCTTCTGAAATCAGTGAACAGAGATGAGTGATGGTCTCAGGGCCTTGCCTGTCCTAAGCAATACAGGCTCAAGAGCAGAAGCCAGCACGAGAGAGCACCTCTGACATCATGGGAGCAGAGGGCAAAGAGTGACCAGGGTTTGGGAAATTGCCCTCAAAATAAGACTGAACCCATGAAACACGAGCAATAACTTGGGAAGAGAATGGGACTGAATCCTGGAATAGGACTTAGCACACCGTCCTGCAAAGAGTTGAGCAGTAAATATGACAAGCTTTATGGCTCAGCCTTGATATGAACCACAGGGTGAGTTATCCTTTAGTTGAGTCTCATGCCAGTGCTCAGAAAGATTCCGAGCCTGGAACATTTCTGATTACAGAGGTGCTCAGACTGGCACTACACTCTACTGGTCTGCTGAGAAAGTAGCCACAAACAGTACAGAAATGAATGACGGCAACTGTGTTCCAATACAGCTTTATTGGCAAAAAAATGGGCTGTGGGCCGAGTTTCTGCAGTTTGCTAACCCCCATTCTATTGCACGTGCTTCAAGGAAGCTCAGGACAAGGAAGCGTAACTCCACCACCAGAAGCAGCTGTAGTTTAATTTGGAAATGTCCTCCAACTCTATTATTAGAAGAATCTTATGATTGGGCAGGGGGCACACTTGGTCACAGCTGATTGGATCACAGGCAGCTATTTGACCTAAGCGAAGCCAATCAGATTCTCTCTCCTGAGGCCTTGCCTTCCAGCTCTCACTCCCACGTCTCGCGAGGCTTGGCCACTTCCTGTTAGAAACCTCAATGTCCCTTTAGTAGAGTTATTCACGTTAGTTTGAGTGGATTAAGGATGAGGAAAGTAGGATCCAGGGAAGTTAAATGCTTGCCCAAAGTCACTCCACTAGGAAATGACATCTCCTCACCCAGCTTCCTCATGCACGCCCTTTCACCACACCCATCTCATCTCCCAGGTACACACCAAGTGCCCCCTGGTGAGCAGATTATTGCAGGCATGTTTCAAATGCAACTCCTGGGCCAGCACCACGGCTCACTAGGCTAATCCTCCTCCTGTGGTGCTGGCACCCCAGGTTCTAGTCCCGGTGGGGGTGTTGGATTCTGTCCCGGTTGCTCCTCTTCCAGTCCAGCTCTCTGTTGTGGCCCGGGAGTGCAGTGGAGGATGGCCCAAGTGCTTGGGCCCTGCACCCTCATGGGAGACCAAGAGGAAGCACCTGGCTCCTGGCTTCGGATCGGTGCAGCATGCCGGCTGCAACGTGCCAGCCTTAGTGGCCACTTGGGGGGTGAACCAACAGAAAAAGGAAGACCTTTCTCTCTGTCTCTCTCGCTCACTCTCTAACTCCACCTGTCCAAAAAAAAAAAAAAATCAATTCCTGATCCAAGTCCTGGTCCTCCTTTTCCTCCTGGGGGCTCATTCACAGCTACAGACAGAACAGTCACTTCCTTTATCTATTTCTTGTACGAC